CCGGAAATACTCACCAACAAGAAACTATGGGAACAAACAAACAAGGCAAGAACAAACCAATCGCCAACCAACAGCAAATATGCAGGATAAAGTGGAGATGGATGGATTGGACACTCACTCGCTGAGGAGGCCGCCGCTGGGTGACATCGCGCGCGCATCAGGCCATTTCTCGAGTGGAACCAGGCCGAAAGGGAAGCAGGTAGCAAGTTGGTCGTCAGTGCAAGGGTGACAGGGAGGAGATCGTGTGAAGAGGAAATGAAAGAGTATGGACTAACACGAATGCAGGTGAAAAGTACAGCAGAAGACAGAAGCAAGTAGAGACGTGCAGTTGAAGCCCTATTTCGCACTAGGAACCCAAGGGAAAAGTAATAATAATAATAATCTGAACATGAACTTCAATCTTTCAAAATATATATCAACTAAAATATCCTCTTTATAACTCTTTTCTTTAAATCTTCTTATTCGAAATGATCTTAAACAGAAACACTGTCCTAAATATGGATTTATACAAGGATCAGTTATTACTATGCACCTTTTATATTCCAAGTGAGGAAAAAAACACAGACATTTTCAGAAGCGCATCTCATTGTACTCGGTTCTCTGCCTTCCTTTTTTTAGCTGACTGTATGACTATACACAGGCTTTAAACCCCCTTCATTTTACCTCTCGAACATGCAACTTATGGCTTCCTAATTAGCTTTCACTCACAACTACCTACCTACCTCCCTATCTTGATACATGGAATATCTGTTTTCTGAAAGTCAATTCTAAAACCCACTGTCTCTCTACTAAATTAGGCAGATATAAGTATAAAACTTGGGCACTGTGGTAGAGTAGAACTCCATTATAGATAAAATTTTATTTTCATAAGTCACACAGTGGTACACAGTATTATTAACTGATGACCACGTTTCGAGCACAAATTATTGCCACTTATAATCATATCAAGGCACTATTCACACAACGTTTTTCCTTCACTTATATGCATGTGTGGAATTGACTAGAAATTTAAATAAAAATCAATATGGGATAATGTACATTCGGAAATAATAATAGAAGTGTTATTGATCAATTACAATCAGATAAGAAATAAGACAAGTGTTTTCATAGTCATAATAATTAACTTGTAAGAATGTTGTGATGTGCTTGAGTTGAAATAGAATTTTGACATTGTTTATTATCCTCTTCTGATTTGACTGACTGACTGACTGTTGGTAATAATATCTTCCATATTTCTGGTATTTGCATTGAGTCATTTATGTTGCATATGTTGTGTTGGGTGTAGACTCAATGAACCAGGATTCAGTAAACAATCTCTCTCTCTCCACCTACCTAGATTACTTCTTAGAATCCTAACCCTCTCTCACCCTATTGTGTGGTTGTGCGTTAATGCATGAAGTGCAATTGCTGAGGTTTTTTCTAAAATTACTCATCTTCGCTGGGTGAACCATTCTTACCTTAGCTAAATTCTTATGATCCCACAATCCGAATACCCCCAGTCTACTAGTTTGACATATGTAGTTGACTTAACTCACAGTTATTGCAAGGTATTTTGTCAATTATATTATTTTGTTTAATGGGGCCCCCGATATGGTCCTTCAGCCTACAGAGCTTGTCCCTGAGTCAGTTTGTAGGTTTGAATGCCACCCTAATTCCCGCTTTATTTAGAACCCTACGTAGGGTCTCAGATGTGTCCTCCTTATATGATATAACAGTGGATGACCTATATCCTCTCTTATTCATGTTATCACTACTAGTTTCACAATTATTTTCATTTTGGTTTTGGCCTTTTTCAAGGGATAGTTGTTTAACACTAACGCTTCGCCTATCTGTTTTATTTCATCATTTAGGTCTTTTTTGTGCTACTTAGTGCTATGGCTCGGTATGTTAAACACCTAACTAAGCCTGCCTTAACAGATAACGACGGATGAGATGAATTAAAGTCTAAGTATCCATTAGAATGAGTTGGTTTTCTGTACACACTAGTGTGTAGTTTACCTTCTTCTATTCGTTTTATTTTACAATCTAACATCACAGCTAATTCTCCTTGTTCATTTTCCGATTCAAATGTGAATTTTATTCCCTCCACTAGTGAGTTTATGTGTGTCAAGAAGCTAGAGATATGTTCGGTTTTTAACACTGTAAAAGCGTCAGTCATCCACATATCTTCACCATATTTTTGGAGTAGGATTAAATGTATTAAGAGCACTATTTTCCCAGGTATCCATAATGATATCTGCTACGCTAAGGGATATTGGTGATTCATCCCATTGCTACACCTTCTGTTTGTCTATATATTTTACCTTGGAATTTAAGGATAGTAGATATGAGTGAGGCATAGCTGAATTCCTAAAATAATTTCTTCAATGGCTAGTTTCTTCCTATACATGAGTTCAGGGTCTGCGGTTAGTTTTTCTCTAACTGCTTCTAAGGCTATATTCATTGGTGTGTTAGTATAAAGACTAGTTGTATCAAAATTAACCATTTTTTCATTATTCGCTAGTTGAATGTCATTTAGTTTACTTTACATCTCATATGAATTAGTTAGTCTAGAGTTTAAACTATATCTAATGGGGTATAATATTAGAGCTAAGTGTTTTGATAATTCATGGGTAGTTGCTTGTAGTAAGTACCTTTTTATAGAAATACACGGAAAGTCTGTGAAACTTATAAGAGTCCTACTTAAGTTTCTTATCGTGTTCGTTGTACTGAATGCGATAGATCTCCACATAGACTTGAGTGTAATGCGAACCTGATTTACTTTTACGATTCTGGTTAACCGTCGATTTCTCTTTTTCTCCTGTTGTGAACTTCTTATGACATTTGTGTTTTATTCTCACAAATTAAGTCTACACTGTTATTTTCAATAGTTGATTTATAAGAATTAGATTTGTTTTGACGAGTTGATCACGGATTGATATCAGTTAGAGAATCATTGAAAACCAGCGGTGGAGTACTGTCAGACAACTGTTTCATCTCACTAGATTGTGGAAACCATCGGCAGTACGCACCCACCAACAGGATCCAAAGTATCTCATGCTGGTTAGTGACTTGCTACAGGATGGAATTTCCTGGAGTTCTAGTGAGATGTCGTGATCAGTGAGATCCATCCAGTCAAGTGTGAGGATGGCTGATGGTTGCTCTAAATTACGAATTGGTAGAAGTTAGAATTCATGCACTGGTTATTGAGGAATCACGTCCCAGTGGCTGAATGGTAAACGAAACAGCTTGCCTTGTAACCGGAAAGTCCTGGGTCGAACCTCCCGTGATGGGTGCGTACTGCCAATGATTCTTAAAGTAGGATGAACCAGCCGTCTGGCAGTACTCCAGTGTTGGTTTTCAGCGGTTCTCTATCTGACATCATCAGTCCATGATCAACTCAAGACCACACTGTGTACTTTAATCATTTAAAATGATACGCAAATGGCTCACATCTTTACTCTCACGATAACAGAGTGATGATAAATCTGATTGTCTTGTACTTATATGTACTTGTACTTGTACAGTTTAAAAAAAATATTAATTTATTTATTTAATTCAATACGTTCAATGGCGTAACGTTACATTGAATATTGAACACGTATAGGTTAACGAAGATTTGAGGAGTTACATTATTATTATTTCCTTTAATTCCTTGAGGAACATAGGGCTTCAGCTGCGCGTCTCCATTGCGTTCCGTTCACTGCCAACGTCTTCACCTGGCTTTAGGTGTGCCCATATGCTTTCATCTCCTATTCACATGGCTTCGCCCAAGTCACCCTCACATCGATGACCAAATCTTCGCTTCCCATTCTGTCGGGTTCCACTCGAGCGAGGGCTTGTCTAGTGATGTGACTCACTTGATGGTTTCCTCAGAGTATGGCCAGCCAATCCACCTCCATTTCTTCCTGCCTATTCGTTGCGCATTCGGTTCTCACTGGTTGGTTCGCTCCCAGAGATCCCTATTTCTGATCTTTTCTGGCCGGCCATCTGATTTCGAGGAGTATTGAGGGAAGACAGCTGTTGATGAAGGTCACTAGTTTGTTTGAGGTGCTCTTCATAACGCGCCAAGGTCCATGAGTATAGTGAGTAGCACTGACTTCACATTGGAGTTGAAATTCCGGATCTTATTTTCATTTTCATGCTGAGGAGTACTGTTGACCTCCACACAGACTTGAGAGTAATGAAAGCTTGTCTTGCTTTCCCGGTGATCCTCTCTTCGATGTCCTCATCAGTTCTTCCCGACTGTAGTTGAAACGATGCTTCCCAGGTAGGTAGGTAGATAGGTGAAGGAGGTTTCTTTTTTCAGATTTCTCAGAATTATGCTGGATGATTGTTGTCTGTTGTTGTTGCTGCTGTTGGTGTTGACCAGGAATCTTCATCACCACATCTGTTTTCTCTATGTTCATCCGAAAGAAGGCCTATCTTTTTGATGCTTCTTCTCTCGCCAACTTGTTGTTTTCCTTTTTGCATATCTTCCAGTTTGTGGGAAATCAGGCATATATCATCGGTGAAGTCCAAATCCTCCAACTTTTTCGTAAAGGTCCATTTTATGCCTCACTAAAATTTGTACATTAGTAATAATAATAATAGTACTCGTAGTCTTCTCTTACTTTCATTTATTATTATTACTGTTATTATTATTACTATTATCATTATTTTAATGATTACGTTCACGCCCTTATTAGGACATTGGTAAAAAACACGAAAATGCATAATCTTCAATAAACTCAAATCTCACTGTCATATGACTACTTACGATTTTAATGCGCTGAAAAAATATAAAGAGTTAGTTAGTGTGTTCTCGCCTGTGTGAGGGTGTGTGTGTGTATGTGTGGGTGCGTGCGTGAGTGCATGCGGCCGTTTAGGTATTTGCACATGTGTAGAGTACGTTATACACACAAATCTCAAACAGAAAAAAATAACACACTAGAAAAAGCAAACAATGACGAGAAAATTTAGAGAAATAATAGAAATATTACTCTGTTCCTCGCCTAATTCACATGATATTGCTGTTAGCAGAAAAAGAGTATAGAGACGCAGTATAATTGGTTAATAATTCGATAGACACATTTGTAGACACATGGACAACGCACGCACACACACACACACATACCTACAAACATAAACACAAAGTAATACATTCAAACACAAAATTATAGGGATTTGTAAACTCACACATACACATACTCACCATAAGCCGTACTCACGCACACACACACACACACAGGTTGGTGTGTGTACGTACATGTTTGGGATCTGCTGAAATATATTTCATTTAACAGATTTACTTTCAGCGATTCACAACAACAGAGAAAGCTCACTGTCTCACATTCACGGTGTGTGTTTCACTGTGATTCTTTTCTCTAGTTTGCTGTTTTCTACATTTCTGAAGAGAAGAAAAAAGATTCTTTATTTTTTTTTCGTGATCCAATTTTTGTTTTAAAAAATAATTTTCGTCTTATTTCTGCAATAAATTAACTGAAAAAGAAAAAAAATAAGCGAAATTTGATTATGCATAAGCTATTTTCGTTGTTCATTGGGAACAGTATTTAAATTTGCCGGTTGTTAATTCATTGAAACATTGAACCAATTTAACATTGAACAGCAATTATTGTTATGCATCAATTATCAATAGTTAATTTATTCATTCGTTAAAAAACATGTCTGTCAATAAATCTAATAAATCAGCGTGTTTACCTGCAAACAGTAAGTTGAAATATAGTAATAATTATTATATATTACTTTTAACTTCATATTATTTATTGTTAGTAGTATCGGATGGTTGATATAACCATTAATTTAAAACAAGCAACAAATCAGGTTAATAAAGCAGGATTGAATGATGCATTCATCAAATTTCGGTAGAACTCTTCCTCAGCTAAACACTCTACATACACGGATATATATATATAGTTTTGAAATTTCATTGGGAGATATAAGACTGATAAGTGAGCAAACAAACTACATTGAATTAATCATGCAGAAAGACCGGTGCGAACGTTTTCCGGGTCATGTTCAAATAGGTAAGGGGAGAGAGAGAGTATAAGAGAACAAAATTAAGATAAATTGCATTACACTTCAATCACATCACTTAGATAAACAATTAGTCATTAGAGAGTACATCGAGAATTGCAAACAGAGTAATATCAATAGTAATAGTTATAATAACAATATTAATAATAATAGTGTTGAAGTGAGTTAAGATAATCCTACTGATGAAAAATAGTTTTAAATGAATCAAGAATAATAACAATAATAATAAGAGGTAGAATAATAAGTAAAACGTATTACCACTGTAAATTCAAAGTCACAACCATCTCCTTTGGTACACAGAGACCTGGTTAATAAACTCGAATTACACAAGCCTCCTCCGGAATTGCAACCATCTTCTTGTTTCTTTGTGTACCTGCTGACAATAGTGAATGACGCGACCGCGTCGATATATTATGTCCATAGTCCACAAGATGTTTTGTTATTGGGGATTTTGGCACTTTGCACTCAGTTGTTTTCAACCATTTTGGCGAATGCTCCATCATGCGAGTAGACAGACAATCACCTTCCTGTACGGCCTATGTATTTGCTTCCACAAACACACTCATCGAATTGATGTACGCAGTTTGAAGTGTCAAGGATTGGCGACTGGTCTTTCCTAGACTGCTGAAGCACTCGCTTAGTGCTGTTAAGGATAAAAAGTTTTGCAGCATAATAAGTTCTCTTGATGGCTTTGTCGAGTCTTCGTTTGACTACTTCCTGTACATCATCTCCTTTGAACGGCAAACTGATATAGACAGGTTTCTTCGGAACTGTTTGGAGCGTTTTGTAGGGACTAATTTTTTTAGAGTATTTATTAATGAACTTCTTTCAGGATATCCATACTTTCGACCCTGTCTTTCTGCATGATTAATTCAATGTAGTTTGTTTGCTCACTTATCAGTCTTGTATCTCTTAATGTAATTTCAAAAGTATATATATCCATGTATGTAGAGTGTTTAGCTGAGGAAGAGTTCTACCGAAATTTGATGAATGCATCATTCAATCCTGCTTTATTAACCTGATTTGTTGCTTGTTTTAAATTCGCATCGGGAAATAAACGTTTTCAATACGCATTAATCGTTTTTCATTACTTGAAAAAACCTTCACTTATGTTCAGGAGAAACGTTTTTTTGAACTTTGTTATTTGAGTAGAATTCGACAAATTCCTTTTTGCATATCATCCGTGAATTAGTTTCGAGTATAATTTAAAACATGAACCATTGGAAATTGAATGTTCGAATACAAATACAAAGTACATTTCGTGAATAATCCCAGTTCGGACATTCATGAAAACAAAGCATATAGTTCAGCGAAGAGATTCTTCTTTGGTGAATTAATTTCCGTCTTGAGCTGTACAATCGCATTTATATATATAGAACCTCTTTTTCCATGAAAGGGAGTAGTAACTAAAGTAATGAGTTATCACAAAAATAGTTCCTAATATTAGCCGATATATACAGAAGGAGTTGAATAAATGTGTTAATATATGTGTAAAATTTGGGCCTTTTGGTAGTAAGTAATTCCATACTAGCTTGTTCATTAGATGTATCACACAGTGAGTGAAACAGTATTAGTATTTAATTGGTGGATGGTGGCTAGCAGTGGAATCCAGGATGCGCGTTTCGTCCTATTTGGGACTCGTCATCTGGATGTACCTGCATTTCTCAGTGAGTGATGATGTTCCCACTGAGGCTCGAACCCAGTACCCATAGTTTCAAATGCCGAAGCGTTATCCACTAGACCATAACAGGGCCACGAGAGCCACCTCTTGTGTAACGGGTCATATTAATTATTGAATTGAATTTTTTGATTTCCCGTCGATTAATGCGCATCCTGGATTCCCCTGCTAGCCACCATCCACCAATTGTATACTAATTAAATACCCAGACATCGTTGAAGCATCTGCACAAGAAGCCGACATGTCAACCTGAGACGGAGCACTTCGGTACAATCAATCGACGGGAAAATCAAAAATTCAATTCAGTATTAGTATTTACTGGATGACATTTCGAACAAAATTTATTGCGGTTCATAATCATAACAATTATTATCACATGACTTCGAAACTTGAATTTTATAGTTTTCTTTGTCCCATCCTAATTTTCGTCGTTGGGGTAGTAGAATTTTCCAGATAACCAACTGGACAGGTGTTGAATCATTCCTATTACACGAATTTGCAGTTGATTTGATAAACAAAGCTTCTGCTGTCATCAATCTCCTCCTCCATTCACCCTGCTGTTACATTAGATTTTAAAACTGTCATCTTATCCCATCCCATCCTATTGTACTGTTGTGTGTAATTGCATACAGTGAGTGGCATAGCTGAACTTTTCTCTAAATTTCTTATCTTATTAGGGTCAACCAATATAGATATAGGTGTTAGGTTTTTATGTTCAGCTAGCCTAGCTGCCTCTGTTCTACTAGTTTGACTAAGGTATTTGATCTGACAATCATTGCAGGCAGGGTATTAGATAAACTAAGTTGTTTTGTTTTGACGGCTCCACAGGATTGATCCTATAATCGACAAAGCTTGTTTCTAATTGAGATGTGAGTAACTGAATGCCAGCCACTTTTATTCCTGCTTTGTTAAGAATTCTGTGTAAGGTGGTTTCCGAGGTTCCTTCCTTGTGTGGATATACTACCGATGATTTAGATTGGCATTCAAAGGCAGGTGAATTGATATATGCATATAAAACTGGACCAATCGGAGATTAGGTCCAATAAACGGTTGGATAACACTACTCCTAGCTGTGGTGCAAAGAACGTTTCTCTCAAGGATGATGAAATTCTTCTCTTAAGGATATTGTAGGCTAAATCCCACTTGAAATCCAGGTTCATGTAAAGTTTATTTTTCGGCAAAAGTAATGTTTCGCTCCTCTGGACTTTCAATTTCATATTCTTGTCAATGAAACTTGGCAAGTGTCCATTTTGGATGGGGCTTTTTCCAGAAGATTTAGTTCTGCTTCTATGGCGTCCATGCTGCAGATGCTTGGATCCGTTCCAACTATGCTCCCTATGGACTAACCTTTTCAACTTTCCATCGGGTCTTTTTGTCACTTCTACATCAAGAAAGCGAATTTGGGATTCTACCCCCCCCTTTCAAGATTAATTTTATTGCAGTTTAACTTAGCCTATAGAGAGCGAAATCAGCGCATGATCTCCCAAACTCTTCCAGAACTCATATTACATGACACCTAATTCACTACTTGCATATTACACAGTCCAATGTGCTATTTCCATACAGCCTCTATTGAGGAATGAAATTAATCGGAACACTAGAATATGTGATCTATTCATTGCTAGAAATGACAATGAAGAACGCAAAATATAATTAAAATGTAAACGAAAGTTTTGTAAACAGTTTAAAAGATACTTTGGGTTAGGAAGACATATACACAATTTGTTAAGGATCAAAATTAAATAACTTCATCTAAATTTTACCTGGGAATTTCTTGACTTCAGAATCGGTCAAGATAATGTACACTTGAAATCCTGTGGTCCCTAAAGTTTGAAAAACTAGGAGGTTGGTATAGCATTATGGTAAATACCGGGGGATTTCTGATCTGTGTCAGCCTTATAATCCAACTCCATTATATGAGCTTGGTTTAGAAGTGGTATACAGGGCTTCAACGGCATATCCTATTTTTGTTCTATCCTCAAATAACTTCCTCCGTGTCACCCTCGGAAGCCCAACTTGCCGTTTCCCATTAGGGTTTTAACAGAAGTCCTTGCTCGCAATACCACCCAACGGTCACATCATCTTTTGTCCGATAAACCTCCAATTCCTGCAGCATATCCGTCGAGCGATAAGTTTCTGATTGGTTCCTTCATTCCCAGAGTTTCTTCTTGGTAATTCTTTCCGGCTATCTGATCTTCCTTATGGAGCCAGCGAAGACAGGTGTTGATCAAAGTCTGCAGTAGCCTGTTAGAAATGCCTTCTATGACACGCGTGTCAAGTTTCTGACCCATCTGAGTGCCGTGGATTTCCAAACCGATTTCAAAGGTATACTTTGCTATTCTGATTCTCATTTTAACGTCTTCATCTGTTCCGTCTATGTTGGAAACGACTCTGTCTAGATAAGTGAAGGAAACGGCTTCTTTCACATTAATTCGGTTCGTAGTAACTGGGTTTGTGTAGAGTGATTTCTAGTATTAATAACACCTATTTTCTGCCTACAAGAAGGTTATTTTAACTGATGGGGACTAGCAGAAGAATAACTCACTCGCTGCAAACACTGGTGCATCTTTCTGATGACTGTCAAGTAGAATGATTTGTTCATCTTAGATCATACTACTAGTCCCTATCGGTTGAAGTAATATGATGTTAAAAACTGCATACAATTCTTCCCATTAATAAACTTGAACAAAGCAAGAACAATAATTGTACCAGGATAATATGAGCTCATCTTTTAATATTATTTCGAGGATTCTTCTCAACTGGTTGCAACCTGAACGATAAAAAATATAAATTACATTAAAGATTTGAACATAGTTTTCCACGATCACAAGAAGTAATTGGTAGGAAGTAAAAGTAACGTTGGTCCGGAATGATTTAACCGATTAAAAGTCACAATCGCTGACTATTTATAGAATAATTATGTAATTAGATTTGGAAACAAAGAACAGAGTTGCGTATATATGTGTGTGTATAGAAACAAGGTTTAGCTAGAAAG